CCCCTGTGTACTGCATCCTAGTGTAACTTGAACATAGCAGAGAATATGGCTCAGGAATATTGGCTCTTCTTTGGCTCTGCTATGCATAACATAATTGGCCCTATGTCCCATGTCCCCCTGCTCTCCATGCATTGTCTTGCCAACAGCTGTTCTTGTTTAAACTTATGGTTGCTTATCAAAATATAAACAAAAAACAGCATTTTTTTTCAAAATGGTTATAATTTAAGTGTGGAAATTAGAAGCATCTCCTAATTCACATCAAGTTGTTAAATTAAAAAAATTATAATCCTGTCCCATTCAAAACATTACTAAATTTTGTAGTTTAGAAAGAACCACCTGTGGCAGAGCACAACTTGTACCTGCCACTTTAAAAGGTTTAAGCAGGCTGTGGAGAAGCTGGCAGGTGCGGTTAGGCCCAATTAGACGGTCAGTGACTGCAAGGGGGGCACTGGATTGGACATGGGCTGGGCAGCCAGGGTATAAGGCAAGGCCCTAGGAGTGGAACCAGCAGTTACATCTAGGGAGCCAGTGGAGCAACACTGCACAGCCTGAGGAGAGCAGCTCCTGGAACATGTGGAGGTCAGGGTAGGGACTATCGGGATGGAGGAGGTTCCTGTGGTCCTGGCTGAGACCTGAAACTGCACCCTGCTGGGGTTGGATGATGTGGTAGGGCTGCCTGTGGTGGGGCAGTCTCTAGGAAATGCCATACCCGTGCCTCCCCAGTGAAAGGCGAGGATGGGTCACCATAAAGCCTAAGCCCCTGCTGTCTTGTGGATACCCCTTGGAGGGGAAAGTCTAGGGGAGCACACCCTGATAGAAAAGTACAGGGCCCAGGTCCACCGAGTGGGGCTTGAGACAGGGGCCAAGGCCCACCGAGTGGGGCCTGAGACCCAAGGGGCAGAAGGCCCAAGAGCCTCAATGAGGGGCAGAGTAGTGGCCCCAGTGAGGGGCAGAGAATGGCCTGGAGAAGGGGCCAGGAGGCCAAGGCCCTCATAGTGGGGCTTCAAGCCAAATTTGGGCCATAGGTTGAGTGCAGCCAAGCAAAGGGGCTGGTGAAGTTACGGGCAAGTTGGATGCTATGTGTGCAGCATGGGACACAGTGTAGGGAGGGTTTGGAGCTATGTAATTGGTACAGCAAACCAGGGCCACAATTAGGGCAACCTCCCCCATTTAACAACCATTATGGTAACATTAAAGGCATAGCAGGGCCGACTACCGTAGGCAGAGTGTGGGTCAGTGATGTGAGCAGCCTGAGGGTGGAGCATGTAGTTGCTCCCCTGTCACAGCACCCCTAATGAAAGATTCAGAATCTAGATTAAGCAAATATCCTATACTATATGAACAACAGATCATGGTGAAGACATTGTATTAGTAATAGCAGACAAATTAGGGTGCTTTTTGGGGGAATCTTTAAAGTAGCAAATCAGGAATACAATATAAGTCTACAGATAAGTACACGAAAAAGTGCATTGCTCTTTAAGGAATAATTAAAAAAAACAATTAAAATTACTAAGCTCAGTTCAAAGAAACCCTCCACACTAGCTGTTGTTTATATTTTTGTTTGACTAACATGCTATTTTAAAACAACTAAAAGAAATATGCTCTGTTTAAATGACTTGTCTTTGAATATTTTTCTATTTACAAATGCTAATGACAAATATTGATTTTTTTTCCCCAGTGTGGAGGTTGCTGGGCTTTCAGTGTCGTGGGTGGAATAGAGTCTGCCTATGCAATCAAGAGGAATAATCTGGAAGAACTCAGTGTACAACAGGTCATTGACTGTTCCTACAATAATTATGGCTGCAGCGGTGGGTCCACAGTTAGTGCTCTGAACTGGCTAAACCAGGTCTGAAAATTTTACACTTTGTAACTGTTTCTTAGTTTTCCATTTTAAAACATGCCCTAGTATTTTGTATAGAAAAGAAAAAGTGATGCAAAAAATATGTGGATTCTAATATGTCCGACTTATTGGAACTAGTGAATTCCAATATGGTATCCAGTCACAGAGTTTGGAGTTGTATATAAATAAGAAAAATTGAGTAGATAACTCATGGAAGTCCATGCACAAAGGCTCACTCAGAACAAAGCAGCATCTGGTATTCAAGGGTATCTTCATTTTTAATTTGCTAGGATTTTTTTTAAACAAAATGTAAGCTGCAGGCAATCAGCGCTGGTGTCAGAGGTTCCATTTATTTAAAAATTATACTATGGGCTTTGGTGCCTAATATCTGCTCTATGTTTACGAAAAATCGGCCTCATAGTTAAATAAGAAGTCCTTACAGTTTGTGGAACAAACACCTTCACTTTCAAGCTGAAAAGAACTGAAAATATGGAAAAAGTCACATTAATGTGAAATGAAGTGTCCTTGAAATATTTTCGCATTTAGTATTCAAAGGTAAAATTATTAATATAAATAAAAAGTAATTACATTATTGGTAAGATATTTAAATATTTTTCTGGTATGTGTTTTATAAGTTTTAAAATACTGGTAGATTGTGTCCTCTTACAGGTGAAGCTAAGAGCTTTAGTAAAAGATCCTTAGGATGTTTCGGTGTCTCTCATGAATCAAGGGGATTTTATTTTGCTATTTTAAGAGCTCTCAAGTAACAAAGATTAAAGTGAAGTAAATCATGAATTTGGCAGCTCCTAGTTCAAAAGACGGAATACATTTGTTGTTAAAAGATGACACATAGAGGGCACATATACCCATTTTGCCTTAGCTGTTGCATGACAGAATAGGAACCAGGAGTGGATGGGGCCATAAATGACACTGCTACCTAGATCGCTAGTCCTCTGCTTGACTGTATCACGTATAAAAGGACATACACCTTACCAGGAAGTAACTTTAATTGAATGGCTCATAGTAGCCTTATGTCCTGGCAGGGAGGATTCTTCCCTCTATGAAATCTTTTCCAAATATACACCTACTTCTCCTGGGCTCAGGTTGATACTGGCATGTGGATTTGCCTCATAAGCAGACTTGTTTTAATAATAATATTTTACCAAGTTAGTCCTAATCCTTTAGTGATTCTTTAAGCTTCTGTAAGGGCCTGGTAGGTGAACGCAGTCTTTGCCACTTGGGATTCTACAAAGCCAAGAGGTTCCTCAGGAGACCACTTACATCACGGGTGGGCAAAATGGCGGATCCAGACGGCGACTGGACTCCATTTCGCAGCAGCCCCTGCCCACGTGGCTGGGGCCAGTTTCCACGGAGACTCCAACAGCAGCTGTGCTGTGATAGTGCAAGGCCGAGGTTTCAGTAGCACTGGCAGGATGGGGAGCGGCTCCTGGGCCAGGCTGGGATCTTGTGGCAGTGACAGCATGGTCAAGCCAGGGTGGAGCTGCAATCTGCCGCCTGCATGCCCCAAGCAGGGAACAGGGGCCCCTCGCCTCATGGTCCCCTGCAGCTACCCGAGCTGGGTTACTGGGGGGAGCTGGGTCAGGCCCATGAGATGAGTGGGATCCATTCCACTCC